GGGAGCATTTACCTCTGCGTTGAGGCTTATCTGATATTTGTAAATCAGTTAATCGTTCTGGATGAAAGTTAGTTCTCTTTAAAATGAATACATCTGAACTGCTCCTTTTTAATTTTTTTTCCATCTCATTCTTCTAGCATTGCTCCATCAAATAGTCTCCTGAAATATTTGTGCTCTAAATTTAGAAAAGGAGACCCTTTCAAGAAAGTAGAAAAGGCCACCCAGCCTCCCTTATATTTGTAAATCAGTTAATCGTTCTGGATGAAAGTTAGTTCTCTTTAAAATGAATACATCTGAACTGCTCCTTTTTAATTTTTTTTCCATCTCATTCTTCTAGCATTGCTCCATCAAATAGTCTCCTGAAATATTTGTGCTCTAAATTTAGAAAAGGAGACCCTTTCAAGAAAGTAGAAAAGGCCACCCAGCCTCCCTTGGTTCTGGTTCAGCTGAGCCTGTTTTCCAGACCGCTGTGCGCAGATCTGTAGACTCCATGGAGGCCCCTCCTTTTCCCAAAACAAACCCAGCTTTTTCGAAGTCTTGCTGTCTATTTTAACTGCCAAATTCCTGGGGAACTTATCCCATATGTCTGTTCCTCTTGGCTTGAAGCAGCCCTGTCCATAACCTACGCATGTGGTGCTTGGAAGGCTGGATCGATTATTTTCCTCTTTTTTTTTTTTTTTGGATGGTGTTTGGTAGAGAGGTGATCTTAACTGCAGGTGGCAGGTCTATAATTGAGTAGTCTTCTCACATTGCTCCTGTTAAGTCTGCTGGGATTACCTGCCTGGTGATGCAGCGGTCAGCAGGTATTGCAGTCTGCCTCTGCCTCCAGGACCATCTTCAGAGAAGGGAAACCAAAAGCTTTTGAGCCTCTCTCCCAGCTGGCTAAGTGTTCTAGAGGCCCCCTTTGTTTTCCAGCTTTGTCTGCTGAGATTTCTTCTTGTGGCATTTCACTTCCTAAAATGCTTAGGCTGGGAACGAAGCAGCTTCACTGCAGCTCCTGTAACAGCTTGTGTTGTTACTCCTGCTCCTCACAGTGCTGCCCTTTGCTGCCGTACGGTGCAGCTTTCTCTTCCACTGTCCTTCTCCTGGAGGAAGGGCTTGGAGCGAGGAGGCTGCTTTGCAAAAATGGAAGGAAAAAGTGATAGACAGTGCTGCCATACGTCTTGGAAACTGTACAGCAGCCCCTGCTGGGACCAAGTCTTCTAGTGTAAAGCACAAATTTGCTTCTGAGCTGTATCCTCAGAGTGAGCAGACCAGTGAGGGGTTTGGCTCTTGTGACCGGGTGCTGCCACTTACAAATGGGAAACTATTTGTATTGTTCACACTGATACTGGAGGGGGAAAATGTGGCTGCAGGTGGGTGTTTTTCAGTAGAAGGGAATGACTCGAAACATCTGTGCTCTAAACTCTTTGTACTTTCTTGCCCCCTTGCCCTCTCTGAATCATCATTTTGGAAAGAGGGCTGCTTGAGACAGAGTCCCTTCCTCTGAAGCTTTTTATAGTTCTGGCTTTCTCTTTTTTTCATTCATGCCCACTGATGGTGTCAAGTGGTATCTGTGGCATGAAACTCAGGATGTTGTGAAATGTTTGCCCTCAGGCTGTCTGTGATGGTGCTCATCTCGCCAGCAGGCGGACCAGGCTCGGCTGGGGCGCGGGGTCTCGTGTGGCCCTGGGATGGTCTGATGGGAAGTGAAGCTTCCTCTAGGGCAGAGCGCAGCGTGCAGAGGCTGTGTCCGGCAGTAACCTTCTGCGGCACCGCCGTTGTGCCAGTGGCTCTGTACCATTGAGTCCGGAGACCCCTGGCTTAGCTGCTCCTGTCTACTCCTAGCAAATGGGTTTGCTGGGTCGCTTTCTGTGTCCTCCCCGATACACGCGTCTGGGAGAGACCGTGAGATACTCTGCCTGAGGGTCTCGCCGGAGTCTGTTCTGGGTACTGGCAGCCCTGCAATGGGGTCCTTCAGGTCATAGGGTGGAGGGGCCGTGATTATGGTAGGGCAGACCTTGTTGAAGAGGGATGATCATTACAGCTGCTGATCTGGGATCTTCTGCTCTAGCGTCACATGTAACGGTGCCAGCGTTACTAGCAGTGGAACAGGAGTGGTTGAGTAGCTACAGGCGTACAGACAGCTGGTAAATGGTGCGGGCGCTGCAATTGCCAAATGGTGTATTTGGCAAAAACAAGATTCCTGAGATCACAAATAGTAAACAGACTGTTTTTGTGAACAGGCCAAAAGATGCCTCCCTTTGTGGGCTGAGGCACTTTTCTGTGCCAGTAGCACTTCTGGGACCTTCTGGTCCTGCTGGGTCTGCAGTAGTCTTCCAGCTCTGCTTGATCTGTGGGGCCAAAGGGTTAAAACCTCTGCTTCTTGAGATCAGTGCCTTGCTATCAGCAAAGGGTCTGATAAAAAGCATGTAATATTATTAAAGTAGACTAACAGCCTGTCTCTTCTGTTGTTAGAGAAAGTTGACGTAGTTCTAAAGCTTCACAATCATTTGGAATAATAAGCCAGAGGTCTCTTCTCTGTTAGCTTTGTGGCATGGGTTTTCTTTGTTGTTTTTTGTCCGTTCTGCCACTTAGTCATGTGGATGGACCCTAGGGGGAGAGGTCTTGGGGAGAATCCTGGTGCCAGAAGACACTTCCATTCTTCAGTGGGCTGGTCCCCCAGCAGCATGGGACTTCAGTGCTCTGGTGAGCCCTTGGCTAGCTCGGCAGAGCGTCCGAGCTCCTCCAGAGGCCTGAGAGGCACAAGGCAGTGCTCATCCTCCTACCCTCTTCTGGGTAGGCGATCTCTAGCGCTTGGCTTCTAGCAGTGTCTGGCTTCAGCTGTGGAGTGAACTACTGGAGAGCTGGCTATTGCTGGGAATGGTGGTGGATAAGCCTAGCTGGGCTCAGCTTCCTTCCCATGCTGGGCACCAGTGCCTGGGCTCTGCTCAGCCCTGGGGAGAGCAGGGGTGCCATCCCAAGGCTAGACAGGCAGAGGGGAGGTGGAGAGAGAGGATGTTTAATTGCTGCTCAAGTTGCTCAACTGGAGAAAACTTCCTGCCCTTGAAGTAAAACTACTCTGTCTGCACCTTTACTTCATCCTTGCTAATTTCTGGGAAGAACCAAAAGAATAGGAAATCTCATTTCCCAGTTCAGGCAGGTGTTGTAACTTCTCAGAAACATGTTTGGCATGGGTGTGCTGAATCTAAACAGCCACTAGTTATCTGCCCTAGCATCTGAGAAAATAGAAGTAACTGAAAACCAGTTTGTTTTGAAAGGGAACTTTACAGTAGAAAGTCCTTAACCTTGACCTCTTGCATCTTATGGGAGGAGGAGGCGGAAAAGATAAACAACAGTTATATTACCTGGCCTCTACCTCAGTCTGGCAATCTCTAGTGCTGTCTCATAAGATTTAAAAAAAAAAAAAAAAAAAAAAAAAGAGCTTGTGTTAAGTCTTTCTTCCTGCCTGGACCATGGCAGTCTTTGGGTGCTTTGGCAAGGAGGGAAGGCTGCTGGGTCGCAGGAAGGTATCTCCAAGCCAAGTGGTGTTGGGAGAGATATTGTGCAACTCCTCAAAGGAGATTTTTTGACTTCCAAGGCATTGCTTGCATGAGAAGGGAGGCTTGGGAGCCAGTCCTGTGCATGTACGTGCACTGGGGATTTCCAGGCTGATGAGTCAGATGGCAAAGGCAAATGCTTAATAGTATCCTCTGCCCGTTGCAGAACCACGCTGGGGAGAAGCTTACCCAAGTGTGAGCTGAGTGCTGCTCCTCTACATCGGCCACCCTGCTGCAGTTTGGGGTGCAGGTCCCATGCAGGGGCTTCGTCCCTCCATGGGCTGGTGTGGGGCAAGCCAGCATGGGGGACTAGGTTTGACACACAGGCACTGTTTGTGGGTGGGGGAGCTGGTGGAGGCATCTGTTGCAGAGGTTAAGTTTACAGCGTAACAGCTCCAAGTGCAGAAAACAAAGCTGAGCTGGTCTCATTTTTGGAGTCATTAAAG